CAACGATCTTCTCAGCTGCTCTCACATGTATTAGAGCACAATGAGGCCAAGTTCAAAAGCAGCTTGATCAGGATGGTAAATAAGATTAGCAAGACTGCAGACAGACTTACGTACTGTCTGATTCTGCATGTGCCTGATTTCAGATTGCTCCCTGATCCAGGTGTCATTTGATATCACGGCCTTAATAATGTAACATATCATCTGTAGAAGGCCTGTGCTGTACAGTTGGTAGAGGGGAAAAGTGCACATGATTTAAGATGGGGTGCTGTGATGTAGTGATATCATAATTCGGTGCAGCATGCACAATAGATGTTGCAGGGCTGCCAACTGCAAGCATTCAGTTTGAGACACACGCAATTGACACCATTCTCATGCCACATGTCTATTTTCTCACATTGAAAAGTACCCTCAAGCAAAAGCAAGAGCACCCTCAGTTTAATCTGATATTGGCGAAACTCTCTAACCTCTCCAGTGTGTATAAGTGTTTGCGCTCTGGAAAGCATCAAAGTTTCTATTTACAACATGTTTTTGTAGCGTTCAGCAAAGTAGCCAATCACAGACACATTTGCTGATTTCTTGAACACCTCTGATTGGTTATTACATTCAAGTTAGTTGGAATTCACTCATCGCTCATACGCCTTTTTCTGCACGCTTGCGAATCCTCTTATTGTAATGAAGGGTAGACACAATGTAAATAAGAGATTCATTGTGTAGTGTAGAGAGCTTCATTGATTTTAACGGAACTTGTTGAGATTGCGATGAAGTGAAGTGAGTGATGTAATAACTATAGCAATGGACGGGAGAAAATTATAATTTGTCAGAGCTGATGTGCATTATGAAATATAAATGCAGACTAATATTAATAGAAAAAATATTTGAATTTTGGTATCAAAATGCTTTTGCAATTATTTATAGAAGTAATTCTCTCACTGTACATTGCTATTCTTGTTGTGGTGAAAAGTTATTCGTTTTCAAAAAGTAGGACTTAAATGTAACATTTTCAAAACTCTTATGACAACTGATAATAAAAAGTACAATAAAAAGTGGCAGCAAGCTGTTCTAGCACAAAACCTCATGGCAGTGTCATACTGCATCACAACTTTTGTTGACACTGAGATACTATTTCAAACAAATTATTACATACAAAAAGATTTTATGTCAGTTACATGAGTTAAATCTATTTTCTGATGTATCATCTGTAGTCTGTGCTACTGTAATTATTGTACTGTATTATTGTGAATTATTGTACTAAGAGTTTTGAAAAAGTACACCTTACTTGTGACAATAGTACCAAAGTGAATTAAAAAAAACGAAAAAAAATGTGAATTCTCACTCCAAACTGAATTTAAATTAAGCCAAGAGAAAAATCAAAAATCAAAATCAAACCAAGAGAAGTTGACCGTGGATCATTCAAAACGGCAAAACTCTGACTGGGAAATCGCCCTTTGTAAAAACAACTGCTCTGATAAGACGTCATCTATACAGCAGTGTGCAGTAGCCCCTCACTGCAGAACAAAGATCCAGGGGGCGGGGTTGGATCCACAGCTAGGGGGTGAAGATGGGTAGGTTTAGGGGTGGAGATGGGTGGGTTTAGGGATCAGGGGATGGAGACGGGCAGATTTAGGTATATGTAAGGTGGGAGGAGTTGGATCTGGATCCAACCTCGCCCCCTGTATCTTGTGTTCTGCAGTGAGGACCATCTCGCAGTGTGCGTGAGCGTTGGCTGCTACCACATTCATCCGCGCAGAAAAGCACAGACGAAGCACAACCAAAAACAATGTTCTTCTGCGAGATGCATGCACTTTTATTTCTAAGCGCTAGCGGGTTAGTTAAACTTAATGTCACAATAAATGTGAAGACTCACAAAAAAGTCTCACTCTATAAAAAAATTAAAAAAAAAAGCCTCAATGTGTTTGCATGATATAAATTAAAGAAAGTGGCATCTGCAAGCAAATAATAATAGGACTTTTCTCTGAATTAATTTCCCTTTTCTGAGACACTTTTGCTTGATTTTTTTAAGCATCTTGTGTCAGTCATTTCTTGTATGAAGTCAGTTCCCCTCAAGTTCACACAGATGTTGCAAAGTAACCACTGTGTAGAGGCGAACAGGTGCAACTGCACCAAATGTCTATATCTTAAAGGGGTCATATGATGTTGCTAAAAAGAACATTATTTGGTGTATTTGGTGTAATGAAATGTGTTTATGCGGTTTAAGGTTAAAAAAACACATTATTTTCCACATACTGTACATTATTGTTTCTCCTCTATGCGTAGGCGTGGTTGACTCTTAGCTTTTATAAAGAATATCTCTTTGGATTTGAGACTTTAGTCTTTGCAACTTTACAGATCTTCTTTATGCACCAAGAGCTTGTAACACTTCAAAGAGAAAGGAAAAATTTAAATCGCATCATATGACCCCTTTAACGTTGAACAATATATCTGTTGTTTTGTCATTAAAATGTATTTTTCATATTTTTGTATGAAGTGTACTTTGAAGTTTTCACGTGTTTATTTCTCTTCATGTTCTGGTTTGTGTGTTTCCTGTTAAGAATAGTTCAAACAGTAATCAGGAGGCTTTCCTACAAGCAAGCAGGTGTAGTGTGCACTCACTGCTGTTTCTCCTTGAATCTGATATCTGACACTTTCGACCTGAGACTTCCTGGATGTCACACACCACACCCGTGGCCACATGTGCTGCTTGTGCTTCATATTAACTCAAATAAACAAGTAAATATTTTTATCTCCTGGTTCTATTGCAAATTTTAGCTCCACATAGCAAACTGTTCAACCAAATGTCACTAATACACCAGCCAAAATGCAAATTATCAATATTAAAAAAGCTTTGCCTTATTCTGACAGCTTATGCCATGTGTAAACTATCTCAGTATTATCCATCATGGTTAGGTTTGTCAGTATTAGATATTGTTAGGTTTGATCTGGAGTTATTTTAATAAGAACAGTAATAGTTATTAATGGTTATAAAATCCAGAGGTAGCCAGCAGGACTAGGGATGCATAATATATCACTGCCATAACTGATTTTTTTATTGGTATCTGTTCATACTGGATATGTACCAGTGAAAACTGAATATTTAATTGTGTATAATTTCCACCATTTTCATAAAGGTTATCATTCTTTTGACAGCATAGTGAATATTAATATCAGCTCAACAGCATGACAATAGTATCTGCTAAAATGTTTGTATTGATGCATCATTGCAACCGTCTGAAGCAAGATGTAATTGAGTCATGAACTTCAATGGGAACTGTTAAAAATGTTTTTCCAAAAGTAAACAACGACAGTGACATCAATGAGCGTTTCCTCAATATTTATTGCTTTGACAATAACTTGATCTTAGATTATCAATGATCAGTTGTTGTTTTTTAAATAATATAAACAAAAATATACAAAACATATTTAAAATCTGTGTTAAAGTAATGGGGATAATAAAGAATTACTTATATTTTTTCAGAGTGCCATTTTTATGGTGGACGTCAAGTGGTAACAACACAATACCAAAATTGTTAATCATCAAAAGGTACATTTTCTTTAAACTTTTATATATTTAAATTTTGTTGATGAGAACTAATATTTTTTATATTTAATATATCTTTACCTTGCATAGTTTTGTTAATGTGTTTAGATGCAAGTCTATCCATCTATCTGTCTGTCTGTCTGTCTTGTCAATCTTGAGGAAAGTTCAGATCTTGCCGTTTTGCTTTTACTTTACCACATGACAGTCATATAAGATTGTTTGCTGTGTGTCATATCTTAATGTGGATATAACACGGTTCATCTGCACTAGCCTATGTCTTGTGTAATAAAAACCATTAGGTCACTTTGTGTTTGTTTCAGTAGCAACAGTAGTGTTCTGTTGCTTAGAAACTAGAGCATTACTGTGATAGTGATGAATGTACATAATGCAACTGAAAAACCTGTTATGAAGTTCTTCTGAATTTAGGCTATACATAAAGATATGTGTGCAAACATAAAAAGCAAAAATGTATTTTCAATCATTCAATGTGTAAAACTAAGCATTGCAAGGCACATAAACCACCACGCCACATTTAGCAAAGATTAACCCTTAAAAATATCCCTTGCTTTTAAAGTGGAACCAAAATAAGAACAAACTTAGTTGTTTTTCAGAATACAGTGAAGCATGCACATCCTGTCACAAGATTTATACAGAGTGGGGCCCCAAATAACCACAATTACATCAAGATGAACAAGATAATAATCGTTTCATTCACTGTACATACTGTCGATGAACTGATATGATATTCTCGAGGAGAGAAGAAATCACCACACAACGAAGAATATCCATTCATCTCTATTTTTTGGCCATGCTGTCGAGAGTTTGCTCCTGTAAGGGAGAGTCCTCCGCAAGAGGTACGACAGCAGACTGGCGGGCTCGTCCGCACTTTATAAAACACTTCATCAGCAATTCATCACTGTTAAAGAGGTAAACCAGTGGGTTGATCGCACTATTCATGCATGCCAATCCATTACCAACTTGGTTTGCGATGTACACATCAGAATACCATTTCTGACACGTGCCGTCCAGTTTGGAGATTCGAGTTGCCAGGTTTACATTTCTAAAAATGTGGTAAGGAATAAAACAAACAGAGAAGAGCAGGGTCAGGATGACAACCAGCCTGAGACACCTCAGCTTTAAGAAGACATCGATGTCTTTCTTTGTCATCAAAGTAAACGCCACATGCCCGTAGCAGCATAACATTATTATCAACGGGATCCCGAATCCAAGAACCGTCCTTCCGATGCTGTACTTCAGGTATTCCCTGATGTATATGTCCGAAGTTGTGTCAAAACATGATGTTACGTTGTTGGAGGTTTTGTCAAAGAACATATCAGGCAGTGACTGAAGAAAAACTAAAAACCAAACCAGCGTAACAATCACCACAGAGTGTCTCGCTGCAATTCTGCCTTTAACTCTCAAAGTGTGAACGATGCCGAGATACCTGTAAACGCTGATGCATGTGAGGAAACCAATGCTGCCGTACAGGTTGATGCAGAAACACAATCTTAAAAGCTTGCAGAAAACATCTCCAAATGTCCATTTGCTGTTGGAAGCGTAGTAAACCACCAAATAGGGCAAGGTTAAAAGATATAAAATGTCCGCCAGGCAAAGGTTGAGCACAAAGATATTTACATTACCAATTTTCCTCCAGTTATCATACATAGATTTCAGCCCCAAACAGTTGCCAATTACTCCAAGAGTGAAAACAGTCACGTAGACCGAGGGCAAAAATTTGTGCGTAAAATCCAAATGGACTAATTTACAGGTAGAATTGGACTCCATCGTTCATTAAAGACGATCATTTCTTGCTGGAGGATGGAGATGCTTGACATTCTCGCACATGAAAATAATATGTCACAGGAAGTGTGAGCACGTTGAGCTGTCTTGACTTGAGGAAGGCACAGCACATGTGCGTAAAAAAACCTTTGAACTCTGAACTTTGAGCTTGATCTAATTTAGATTATAGGAAAACGGCATTTATTAATGATATGCATTTATACATTATAATAATAATTAGAATAATAATTAATAATTATAATAAAGTAATTAAATAATATTATATAATTCATTATATATCGTAATTAGCCTATATATATATCGTTATTTATTTATATCCGGGGTCCATGTAACAAAAAAATCTCACTCATTATCATTCCACTGAATATCCTCTTTATTTCTATTGTATTTTCTATTCTTGTACTACAGTAATCCCTTACAAAATGGCACAAATTCTACCAAATGCAAATTAGAGCATCCAATTCTTGCTTGCCTTTCCTCGTAAAACAAAAGAGGGCAGCCTTACACTTCTGAATCACTGTCGAGTGAGAGACTCGTGATGGGAATTCAATATGAAGCTACTAGATTTGATTTGATTTGATTAACTTAACATTGTTTTAGGTGTTGTTGAACTTCCCCTTTAAAAATAAAGATAAAAGGTGTATTTCCCCCGTGTTTACATTTATGTGTGATAAATTTAGCAAACAGACGAACAGATTAATAAAATAATTTCCTTTTGATAAGTGAATGTCAAAAGTAAATAGAGCTACTAGACCCAAAAAAGGAGACAGGCACACAGAACAAAACATTTATTATTGAGAATTTATGATGAGATTTAAACAAAAAAAAAGTTTGCATAAGGTCTGACAAATGCTGTTAACTTTTGACTGCAAGGTTGTGAGGTGGCAAATCACAGTGCAATGAAACGTGAAATATTCTAAATGAACACAAATGTTAAAGGTTCTAGTATTAATGAAAGAAATGTCATACAGACATAAACAAGTATTTACATATATACAGTCAATCCTTTTGCAAGGAATTGGTAAACACTAAAGTACGGCTAGTGTCAGTCTTCAAATAAAAGCCTGCAGTACATCAGGTGAAGAGGCTACATTTAACCAAGTAGGGATAACTGCAGGCTGGAGCAGTGGGTGTGGCAAAAGATTAGGGCGTGCCGAAAGGTAGGGGGTGTGGATAAAGGTCTTTCTAATTGGTTAGAGTTAGGGTTAGGGGTTAGTTTCTGATGTAGCGTTCACCTTTCGGCACGCCACCTTTTGCCACGCACATTACTCCGACCTGCAGCTACCCCTGTCTCCATTTAACTGAAAAAAATTTAAAAAATAATTGTCTAAATTTCGCATAGCATCTAAACAATGCTTCTTCTATGTTCATGTGCAATGTTATTTCAGGTCAATTTCAAATCTAAGACAGGAAGTTTCTTTGCTTAGATCCTGTTTCTTGAAGAGGAAAAACATATATTGGGAGCTAAAACAACTGCCACTGTGTAAACCCAATTGATAAAAAAGAAAAGAAAACATTTCTGGCAGATCTTAAGCTCATAAACTATTTGAATTACACCACCTGTCGTCTTAAGACATTGTCCTGAAAATAAAAAAAACAGTCAAATCTCAAATGGCTTATGTGCTCTTTAGTGCTTTAAGTCGAAGAGGGTATTTGTCAGTCAGTAAAATGAAACCTCAAATCTTGTGTTGGGTCCGTGTAACCAACACGCAAAAAGTAAAACCCAGAGCGTCCAATATGTAACTGCTAGACCCAAAGTCAGCCTATAAGAGAGTGAGTGTCTAACCCCAGAAGGGAGTCCCTCTATATGCCCCTCCAGATGAATAGGGGCAGTTGTAATGGCAGATGCAGGAGTTGATGGTCATGACAGCATGATTGAGCAGTCTTCCTCCAGGGCAGCGGAAAGTGACCAGTGCCGTGCCAGTGTGGTAAGGAGTGCAACAACGGTTGTCTTTACATGAGCCACAATAACGGGGCCTGTAGAACTGCGTACTACAGCAGCCCTGGTGGAAAAGCCGTACCGGGGTCACTGACCTGTAGGTGGGTTGGCATTTCCTCCTTGACCACTGAAACACAGAAGTAGGGGTTGATTAGAGAATGTTTCGAATGGTCAAAACCGAAGCATCTTTTGGTGGATCGGAGACATACCTGTGGGTTTCTCTGGAGAACAGGCTGACAGGGTCGGATCATACACAAGCGCATCTGCATCTCCAGGTGACAGGCCGGGTTTTGATTGGACACCCGTGTGGATATTCCAGGCCCGCAGGTGTGTGAGCAAGCACTCCACTCTGAGCTCTGGTCTATGCAGTTTGAACCAGGTCTGGTTTGGTATGCAGAGTCTGCAGGCAATGTCTGGTCTCTTCCTGAAGCTGCCATGTCAAAAACAAATCTCTTGTTATGCTATATTAACATTGGGTTCAATCTTTTTATCAACATTCTTTCAATTAGCACAGGTTTTGTATTTCTCTTTTAGAATCGATTGGAACTGATTAATTGATCTGAGCTTATGCACTGTTTTTGAGTGAACATTGCCAAAATTCTATACAAATAATACATTTTTTCACTCAAAAACTGAGGTGCATAAGCTCAGATCAATGAGGCCTTTGACCAATCAGTTCCAAAAAGAAATATAAAACCTATGCTAATCGAAAGAAAACATGTTAACAAAAAGATTGAATCCAATATTTGGTGATAATATAGCATAATGACAGATTTACAAGCAATTAAAAGGCTGGTCATCTTTGACTGATTCATTTTTGAAAGGACAAGGGTTAAAATAACACATACAGAACTGTTCACAAGACGTCATTAAATGTGCATTTAGAAAGTACAGTACATAGTATCAATTTTGATTTCATGTTGAATTTAAATATTAATTCTAATCTCAATAAACCTTATAGAGCTGTATTAATTCGTAATCAGGTTTTACCATCTGACAATAATTGTTATGAGAATCCCAAAGAAGCAATACCAAATACTTCTATCACTATGAGATGATAGTCAGCCATTTATTGGCAGTGTTTTGTGCGCATGGATCTGTTAACGTCTTCACTGTAAACACATTCAGACCAAAATGTACCATTCCAGCTGATTTAACTTGGGTGGCAGTGCTTTTGAACACCCTCCTGGCCGGTGTTCCACGCTCTGTCTAGCTTTTTGGAGTTTAATTGTTGCATTACACAGACATGAGTCCTGTTATGAATTATGGAAAGTTGGCTTCGGGAAGAAGTTAGAATTTGTGCTTTTGGGTTCCATCTTGGCAAGACATTTTCAATTAAATGGTCAAAATCCCACAGACGGGAATGTAATTGAGAGTTCTCAGATAGGGATTCGAATAAGAAACATGTAAAAGGATTTATGCAAAATCCCAAAAGAAGAGAGACGGTTTTCATTCCAGCTCATGAAATAGGCCTACTATTACATGAACAACAACAGCCTTTGAGTCAGTTTTATGGCTTGATTTGTTTGCTGGACACAAAAACAGTTAATAAAGTACCTATGTGAGCATCCTGAAGCACTGTGTTGTCCATATTTTCACACACCCACTCTTTACAGCATTTTCCTGGTTGTTGAACCCTTCGAGGATGAGGGCAGTCTGGGGTGGGCAGGAGAACATCCTCACTGCACCGGGGCACACAGGTCACCCCTCCACCCGAACAACGACACTGAAGAGCACAGGAGGGCTGAAATACCTGGCCTTCCTGGTAAGAGACTCCATTATGTTCGCAGCCCAGCTCCATCTGACCTAAAAACAAAGGTTCAGAAGATTACACTGATGACACTATATGCAATGCAGAAGGTCTAAATGTTCTGGTGTTCTCATAAAGGTTTATTGTGAATGTTTAAGGTTTAGCACAGAAGCTGTATACTCTGCTTCCTAGACAGGCCTTATTGTCTTTGTATTTCACTGTAAAAAATATTGTAAAATTTGAAATTAAGGAAACTTTTTTTTCAGAGTTGAATTAATTTATTTTATTATTTTAAATGAATGTCAGGTTAAAAGTTTAGGTCGTCATTACTTAAATCCTGCCATAATTCTATCACTTATTTATTTAGATTTAAAATGAAGGTTTTATTGAAGTTTTTCCTATTAAAATAAAAAATATTAATCAAATTCTCAAATGATAGCATAATAAATCAAATTCTCAAAATAGCTGCTCAAATGATAAATCAAAACTCAAATACAATTGTATGTAGTCATAAACTATAAAAATATATATAATTAATATTTTATATTATATTATTATACTGTATATAGAATTTGTGTTTGATGAACTACAATTTATATTTTTTTCATTATATATAATTTGTGAGGAAATTAAATTGCATTTGAGATTTTGATTTATCATTTGAGTAGCTATTTTGAAAACTGATAATGAAAATAAAATACATTTTCATTATAAATCCAGTACAACCCTGGTAAATCAAACCTGATAAATCAAATTCTCAAATAATTGAAGTAGTGTAGCATAAACTGTAAAAACAAATATAATTAATATTATATTTAATATATTATTATATACAATTTGTGTTTGATATTTCATTTTATTATAAATTCAGTACAACCCTGGCATAATTAAAACTACAATTTAATACTCAAATGATAAAATATAAGGACATCTCAAAAGATAAATCAAATGCTCAAACCAACATCACAAATGACGAATTAAATGTGCCATCCCAAAATTAAGATAGGTTCAAACTGAACTTGCCATGTAAGCCGTGTCAGTCAAGAGCTATGGGTGGAGCTTATGGTTGTTACCATGTTTTATAGTGGTAATGCTGTGTATTTGGTGGTTGAAACTCACTGACACACTCTCCTGGGTCTCCACGAAAGCTGGCGCTATAGTCACATTGCAGGTCGCGTTGACTGTCACACGGAAACAGCTCACTGCAGGCCTCAGCCTGCTGCCGCGCACACACCTGACAGCACTGGCACCCATCGAGAATGAGAGGAACGCCTTCTGGGCAGTCTGGTACAGAGCTTTGGCACTGACAAGGGCTGCCACACTGCTGACAGCACACCTAAGACAGGATACAGGAAGACTTGTTATGTAATGAATGCAACAGAGCATCCGTTTGGGTAAAACCTGCACAAAATCTGTACATCTGCTCAATAATACCATGTGTCCAATGCTTGAATGCAGTTTCAAAAATCAAACATTACTGTAATATAATGTATTTCTTTCAAGTTTTCCATGCTATATTTTTCATGAATGCCTCTAATAATAGCACTGCTGGTTTTTAAAACATAACATTTTTAAACATTAAAAAATTGATAATATGCATATGGAGAAGCAAAAGGAAGAAAAAAAAGATCCCTCATGCGAATCACTGACGGTAAGTATTCCCAGGCTTTGAATACATAAAACATGCTTTCAATTATAAGCTAGTGTTAGCGCCAACAAGCTTAAAATGAAAATCATCCATTTGTACAAAACAATGAGAATTTAATTAAGCTTTAATTCTCCATTGCATTCAGTTTATACTGGAAAACCCTGTCTCAGAGACAACAAAAAGTTCCTGATAAAAAACACTAAACTAACCTCTTCCTCCTCTAAACTTTGAGAATGACAGTTTACAAAAGTAACCAGATATATTCTCACAGCTGTTGCATAGCTGAACACACACATCAGAAACATTTCCACTGGCAAAATGCATGCATGCAAATAAAGTGTGTGATTCTCACCTGTGAGCCTAGGTAAAACAGCAGTGTCCATGCCATCAGGCTCTTTCCGTCTCTCTGTAGCTTGTCCATCATGTTCTGCTATGTGTTCCACCACAATGAGATTTTCTACTTGTGTTACTGTTTCTCTTGTCTCACTGCCTGGCTCTGTGCACATGCACTTTTATAAAGTCCTTGCTCTGATGTCATAGCCTGACTGCAGGGTAAACAGTGGCTGGACCTGGATCTGAAATGTTTCAAATTCCACATCTCCGTTGCCCATTTCCACAACCAGGAATTATTTTCTCCCTCTGCTCGTCTGCTCTGGTGTGCAGAGATGAAACATGGACTTTTGGAAGAGATAACAGCATATTAAAGCTTGCTCTTGACCACATTCAAGTTTTCTGTTTACATCTAAAGTCTAATAGCTGTTGTTTATTGAATTGCTACATCAAATATATAAAACAGACTGATAAGCATGGTTGGGAGTTTGATATTGCACAATAGTTCAGAAAAACAAACAGTTTATATTGTATAACTTACATATTACACACAATTGCCACTACCTTTGTGTATTTTTGCTCCGCCAATAATTCCACATGAAGTAAAAACAGAATTTAATAACATAGAATAGAATTTTCAAGAAACACACAGTCATGGTGCTCATGAATGTATGAGTAGTTCTGAATGAATCGGGTGAGTAAACAATTCAATGACTACCTCAATAAAGACCTAGCCTGAAATCGCATACTCTCTGAGAAGGTATTTCTTTTAAATAAGTAATTACTTTGTGACCATTAAAAAGGTATGTTCAATATAGTATGAATGTGTGTAGAATGAATGTAATCTGTACATATTTGCCATGTTGACATTTATTTCACCAGTATCAGTTGTGTCGCTTTACTTTCAGATTAGCCATGATTTCATGGATTACACGCTGCAGTTCTGCCATCTTGCTGTTCTTCCCCATATGACGACGAGATGCTAAAATCGTTGTATTGGATCGGGGCTAATTACCAACATCAAGTAGACCTTCTAGTCACTCAAGGACTGGAGGGATGCTGTCATCAAGTGTCTGGAGAGTGTCTGCCCCTGATTCATGCCACAACCTGACCCAGAGCCCAGCCCGTCACCACCTCATTCGACAGGTATTTCGCCACAGCCCCCCAGCAGACTGGAAGCCCCCCACTGCCACGAAGTGTGAGCCAATGCCCGAGAAAGCACACCACTACACTTCAGCCGAAGAACCTCAGAGAGTCTGACCAGGATTGTCAGCTGGCATCACCATCCATCACTGTGGGAGTCCTCGTGGTGATCGAGGGTATGGAAGCAAGCCTCTTGTGTTGCCCCTCAAGTTCCTTGTGTCCCTTGATCTTGCCAGAATGTGTATTGTCTTCTTCAGTCCTGCTGACCCCACCCAGCCTCTCTCTCCCACCACCTCTCCAGACTGCTATTAGAAATGCATTGTTTTTTGTTGGTTTCTGTGCTCAGCCACTCCTGCCACCCAGTCATTACCGTCCCCCATCAGTCCCTCAGTTCCTCCCCTCAGTGGCGTAGTTACACCACGGTCCTGCTGGGAGCCACTTCTTCCTGGGCGTGATGAGCCCATGGCCCCGCCTCCAGCCTCGGAGTGCTCAGTTCCACCTCTACCTGTTGTCCTGACTCCTATGCCTGCGCTCCTTCCATCCTTGACTCCAGCATGGACCATCGGCATTCAGCCTCACCAAGCTCCCTTGGTACATCGGCTCCACCTGGGTCGGACATCGCCACGCCTTCACTGCGGACTTACGGGCCATTCGCTGTTCTCCAGCCCTTTACCCCTTCGGCTTCAACTAGCTCTGCCTACACCCTCGGGCGTTCCAGCTTGACCTCTGCCATCTGGTTCCCCACTTCCATTTCGGGGGCTCCGTCGTGGCTGCCCAGGTCATCGGCATTCCATCACTTCCTCAGCTCTCCGTCTGTACTCTGGGTTCCACGTCCTATGGCCCAATTGCTGTCGGTCACCCTCCTGGTGTCGTCAGCCAGGATTCCACCATGGCTCCTCCCTCCATCAACTCCGCCATGGGCCATCGTCCTGGTTGGGCTCTGGGTCAGCACCCTCTGGCCACTCATCCCATCATCTTCTCTGTGGTTGCTGCCTCCATCTACTCCTCCATGGTTTCTACTGCCTGCTTTCACCAGCCCTTCGCCTGCTCCTCATTCACCTCCAAAGCCCCCACTCTCCCTCCCTCCCTCACTTAATCTGTTACGGCGCGAGATCGTGCCTTCTAGGAGGGGATGTAATGTAACTTATTCAGTTATTTTTGTCTTAGTTTCATTTTCATGGACTTTTAGTTTGTTTCTATTCAGTTTCCTTTTTCCTTTGTTCTAGTTCCCATCAGTATTTAGTTGTCATGGTGATTGATTTGATTGAGTTAGTCTTCAGCTGTGTTCACATCATTTGCATATGAGTTCATGTGTGTTCTCCTTTAGTTTGTCTGGTCTCGTCTACATTATGGTTGTGTTTACCCCTGTACCTGTATCTGTTCCTGGACTTATCTTTGGAGTTTATTAAAAGACTGTTTGCTTGTACCTTCGTCTTTGTGTGATTATCACAACCAGTTGTAACACTATTCTTTTCGCATACTGTTTTTTTTTCCTATTATATAGTAGGGAAGTATATGATTTTGGATGCAGCCTTCATTTCGTTCCTGAATTATTTAAATTAATTGGTTGAGTAAATGATTCAATGACTAAAGATCGTAATTTTGCCACCTAGCAGCTTAACAGTGTAACTTGTAGAAAGAGTCATTGAAAGTCCCCATACTAATACACACTGTCAGTTTGTCTGGAAAGTGATACAAACAGTGAATAGCCTCAGTGATCAGAATTTTTGGAACCCTGCTCAGTCACCAAGTTCGAGGACCGGAACCAATTGTTCTTCGAATTGTAATAGCGTTTAAAATAGAGAATTTGCTTCCATTTAAACTGTGGGTGGCACTGAAAAAGATTTTTTAGCTTCTCAAAAAGACATTATACATTTTTCATGTCAAGTGCTCAGACAAAACAATCCTATTGAAATGTAGGATGACCCACTGGGAACGACGGTTTAAAAATAGACCTAGACGGGAAATTCACTTTTACAAATACCACAGTTCTTGATAATTCAGCTGGAACACGTGGCCTGCCAGATACAGCAAAAGTGAAGTGGATATTAGTTCTGTCTAAAAATTCTATCCAGCCACTCTTATATTTATTTTGACATCCTTTCCAAAAATCACAAATGATTGGAATGTACAATATCACCATAAAGGGTACAGGGCACACATCTCTTTATGCAAAACACAGTATAGTATTTCAGAATGAAAAATATTGTCTTATTCTTGAATGATTTTGATTCAGTTTAACAGTGGAGGATAGAGTAATCTAAATATTATTATCCTATAAATGGTATTAAATAAACATTCATCAAAGTCCAGTGGAAACATATTATAGGGCGTCAGGAATGTGTAAATTTGTTCTGGAACGATGATTCATAAAAATATTGTTGAAATATTTAGAGATTAACTGAGCAAGAAAAGCAGATATGTGACTCCCTCTTTCATGTCTAAAATTCAGCCAGTTGTGGTTAAAAACTAGTCCAATAATGTCTCATGGAAAAGTTTTCGCTTAAAGTGAAGTACATGCATTGAACTTCGCTTGCTGAGTGCCCAGGAACTGACTTAAGTTAACAGGAATACAGGATATTGGAAAGGCAGGCTCATATTCATACACTAAGCTGTGGGCAGGAGTGCTTTCATTTAACACCTGCTTTGGTACAGCAGAGTAAAACCCTGAATACTAAATTACAGTGCAGTGCAGTCATATGGCAATTCTAGAATCAATGTACAACAGCCCTAACAGGTACCTCTCTCAGTGTGGTGTAATTGGTTTCATTCAAGAAATATTCTGTGGTCTGTTCTGTGGACCTCATTATGCTTTTGGTATTGGAAATAGGTTGTCTTTGAGTTTACTCCTTCATTCACATTCACATGTGATCTTCAGTGCTTTGGCTTAGGACCTTTCTAAGTTCCTTTCTTGTTGTTAGCTCCTCAGTTACCGCACATCCTGCAATAAAAAATTACTTGATGAATCGATATACTTGACCAGGCAAACCGAACATAATTTATATACAACATTTATTGTCTTAATGTTAAAAAGTCTTTGGTTTGCCTGTGAGGTTTGAAGAATTTGGCCCCAACTGCAATATGTGTCATAGTTAATCAGTTGGAGTCATAGCTAATAATTTGAAAACTGGAAACCTTTTTTTCCTTTGTAGCCCTTGACAATATTACATTTCCTTTCATATGAATCTTAAATCTAACCTGACACTGAGACCAAAACATTTTTGCTAACAAAAACATCTGAAGAATAGGGATAATGTACAGCCAGCCAGTCATTGTCGCTAAAATTCCCAGAGGCATAGCAGATATTTACAGGGCTAGTCACAAAATAAATAAATACATGGAATATTTATATTAGCTGAAATTAATGTATAATTTTACTCGTATAGTATATTAACACTACCACTAAAATCACTGATTGGCAAGATTGAACAATCAGAACAGACGATTCTTGAGAGCCGTGTAACAAATTATTAATTTGTCAGGACAGACTGACTTATCATTTTTATATTCTCTTGATTGATGTTATCAGTGCTTTGTTTTGTTCACCATCAAAATCGTAGCATGCAAAGTAAAACATTAAAGTTTCCAGGTTGCTTTTTTTCTTGTTATTTGAACCGACCTCTTACACATTAAATCGCAGCTGCAGCCCAGATGTATCACCCTCTAAAAAGAAGAACCTGAATCTGACTAACTGTTTTTGAGGGGAGGAAATGATACCTAAGTTCCAAGCATTCTAACTAGATGTGTGAAACTGTGAAACAGGAAAGCCTTTGATTTCTGATAAGCAAGGGTCAAGTAATGACGTTTGAGAGGAAGCAAATCTGACAGTCACAACACACACAACCACATACAGTAACAGCTTTATGGGAAGAGCCCAGTAACCGTCTGGAAGGGAATATTACAAATATTTCAACTGAATCTGTGAAATCTTTCAATGTAAACTTCAGAAGTCATATTGAAATTTACAGTATGAGAGATGAGGCATTCTGCAGAACAGTGATGTGCACTGAAATCGCATTCCAAGCGCTGGTGCTCTCCCTCGGTAGAAATCATGTTCGGCACACTAAGAAAAAAAATGCGTTCTTTTAAGAACTGATCACAGAAAGGTTCTTTGGAGATCCCAAAATGTTTTAATATACCATCATTCACAAAACACAAAACATCCCATTCCTTGAATATAAGTTGAAAAATTTCACACTGCGTTCAGCTGTCAGTAAAAACAGTTCTCTTAGCTCCAATGAACACATTTTACCATATCCAATTACATTACACAAATGTTGATCGATGCACATGTGCTAATGATTATCATGTTACCATCACAGCTCATGAAAATGAACAAGTCATTATTTGGGAATATGTGTGTTACTTTATCAAAATTTGAATGATATAATATTATGAAACTATACCAGATCAGTATCACTCCATTGACCAGGTTACTGGAAGCTGAATATAAATACTTAAAATATGCCCATAGTCTTAATAAGACAAAAAAAAAACACGATGACCATTTTCCAATACTGGAGTTTATGCCTAAAAATAAGCGAGAACAAATAAATACAGGACAAAGGATAGATTCACTGCAGCAGCTACTTCCTAACATGTGGCCAGCAGAGTCAATATTTTAACGGATATTCTGCTCTTTAGCTAGGACAAGATCTCTACGACCTCCAACTTTCTAACAGAATCTAACAGTCTTGATCTAACAACATTAGAAGTAGAAGTAACAACACGGGGAAGTCGTGGCCTAATGGGGGGAAGTCGTGGCCTAATGGTTAGAGAGTCGGACTCATAACCCAAAGGTTGTGGGTTCGAGTCTCGTACCGGCAGGGATTGTAGGTGGGGGGAGTGAATGTACAGCGCTCTCTTCCACCTTCAATACCACGACTGAGGTGCCCTTGAGCAAGGCACCGAACCCCCAACTGCTCCCTGGGCGCCGCAGCATAAATGGCTGCCCACTGCTCCGGGTGTGTGTTCACGGTTTGTGTGTGTTCACTGCTGTGTGTGTGCACTTTGGATGGGTAAATGCAGAGCACTAATTCCGAGTATGGGTCACCATACTTGGCCACATGTCACGTCACTTCACTTCACTTCATTTGTAAACCATATTTGGTCAGCATATCTGTCATATCTGATGACAGTTTAGAGTGATAGCAAAGGGTTGACTTAAAGGGGTCATATGATGCTTTTTTAAAGATCATTATTTTGTGTATTTGGTGTAACAGAATATGTTGACATGCTTTAATGTTAAAAAAACACATTATTTTTTTAAATACTGTACATTATTGTAGGTCCTCTATGCCTCGCCTCTCTCAAACACGTCGTTTTCAACAAAGCCCCCTCCTTTGACAAGCACAGTCTGCTCTGATTAGCCTATCTATGCACAATCAGCTTGTAACACTCCAAAGAGAAAGGAAAACTTGAAATCGCATCATATGACCCCTTTAAGAAGACGTCACAGATGCATGAACAACAAACAGTGGTGCTTTATTCTGTTATGTAAGGAGCCACAAATGACAGGAAAGAGAAGCAAATAAATGGTAAATGGAAAAAAATAATGTTTTTACATCTGTTCAAAAGCTTTACATCTCTATCCATGTCTTAGCCTAGAGCATTTTGCCACATTTAATGGGATGTTTTTGCTGAAAGAGAATAAGTTCCATGTGGCTTCACGCAGGGTTAGAGTTGCTGGATTAGGCCAAGTTAAATAAGGGTTGTTGTTAAGGAACTGCTCTAACAGCAGGTGTTTCGAAAGAACTGTGTTAAAATGTAATGTTTTAGGCATGCAGTAACAGTTATGTTGCCTACTACTGGCAATGTCTCTTATTTAGCAAGTCATTTTGTACATGGTTTATGATGTGCTCTATTCAAGTACAAACATGAAGCAAGAAAATTCTCAGTGCATTCAAATATTCAACAAAGTTATACAAACATTCTTAGTTTGATGAGAGATGTGCATACTGTATGCAATTGCCATTTGCTGAAAATGATATACTAGACGTGTCAAGGTTTTGGTTAAAAAAAAAAAAAAAATTCAACCAATTATTCCCTAATCGTAATGCATATTTCGGCATACAGGTGTGGTCAACCTGTATGATTTCTGTGTGATTTCTTCACACAGAAATCAATACAATGACGTTCTGCTGACATCTAGTGGCCAACTACTGTAAGCTATGCAGTTTACATGTCTAATATTTTCAGTCCAAATAGGGAAATAAATCATCTTTAACAACAAATTACAGTAATAGAAAATAATTATTAAATAAAATCATGGTTCTGAATACAAAATATCTTAAACGTTTGTCTGTTTTGAAGTATTACATTGCGCTGAACCACACGAGGGTGCGATGGGAAGTGCGAATAATTTCCTGCGAACCGATTGAATAGTTATTTTCGAGAAACTATAGTTTAAAAATTATTTTACGTCAATTATGCCATCGAGTGAGGCATTGTCGTTTGGCATGTAAAATAGCATGACGCAAATAGAACGCTTCCGACACACTTGCAGGGCTGACAGCAGCATCTCGCGTCGCGTCGATAGTAGTGTAGATGTGGCATTAGTGTGTTTCTAAAAATCTTCTAATAGGATTCCGGTTTAATCTCTTCGCATGGCGTAGATCAGTTTGTCAGTTTAGTTTGCTCGGTTATTGTTGTCACTCTGTTGAGTGTGTTCAGCCGTTGTTTACTTGCCTTATTGCACGCTGATGCTAAGGCGGAGTTCATCGCTCATATCTGATCATAAGGCGTGTTCTTTGTCCGAGCCTGGGTTGGAGTGTATAATAGTAACGCGCATGGGGAAGCTGAACTTCGCTGCTCGAGCTGACAGGTTCCAGAGAGCGGGTGTTCAAGTTATATCACGACAGATTTACACTTCGAGTCAAGACAATGGCAGAAAAGAGTGGAAAACCAGAATTTGATCAACCTAAGGTATAGTGTTGTTGTTGTTCTTCTTCTTCTTAACATACAGGCATACACAGGGCCGTTTCTAGGCATAGGCGAGCTAGTTGGTCGCCTAGGGCGCCACCAGCTGAAGGGGCGCCAATGAGCGCACGTACTGGCACTTTTAGCAGGGTTGTGATAAAGAGTGGCACGGTCACCCTGAAATATGACTGCCGCCCCCACTGGATCATAATATTGGGCAGCGGGATATGTCTGTGATACGCTTTCAACCTGCGCGTAACTCCTCCACGCTTACCCCTCTTCCTTTTAGTCCTCCTCGCCGAAGACTGGGCTCCGCCATAGCTCCGCACAATCCCGCGGGTAGTTCTCCGCAATTCCACAGGGATGTCACACACTGGGTCCACAGAACCGGCAGCTGCCCGCAGACCCAGGATGTATTCCCGGGAGAGCATTGTGGTGTTCGCCTAGGGCGTCAAATTGGCTAGAAAGGGCCCTGGGCATACACATTCGGGTGGAATGCTGTTTTAATAGATCGATAATACAGCACATATTAAAATGCCATGATGAATGTAGATATCAATAGGCTTAAGACCTAAAGCCATCTTAAATCTGATGCTTAATAAGGAGGAGGAGACTTAATGCTAAAAGTATTTTCAGTGTAAAAAATATTTTAAGTTAAATAAGGAGAAGAAACACGATCATTATCATAATATAATTGAAACATAAAAAGACATCTTTTTTTAAGATAAAGACATTTTGGTGATTGCAACTGATGCATCAGTATTCTAACAGTGATTCAAATGGAACATGTTGATTTATGTTAATAGTTCATTTAATATTTATGATGCATGTTAACTCATGGCACATAATGCGCTGGCCTCATACAGTAACACAGGAGCGATGAAGGAGAGAACACTCCAGGATAATATTCACACTTCTTGGCCTTGCAGGGAGATACAGGGCATTGTATCTGCCCTTTGGAATTATTGTACTGACTCAGCGAGCAGAAGTCAGCCTGAAGAACTGATACCAGAAACATGCTGATAAGCAAATAATTTCTGGAAGTGTCAATAACCAATATGAGAGTCGACACAATGTCTCTCCTGTACTCCTCTTGTATTACACTGACCATGTGCAGGTGAATTGAATAATAATTACGGTGTGAGTCTACACCATTGTTAGTATAGTGTGAGAGGCTGCCCTGACAATACAGCATTGTCTTTGGATTCCTCATTGTAAACACACATTCAAAAGGCCTTACCCTGCAAACATGTCCTTGCGGGGCCCATGCTGGTTTTTTGCGGGCACAGTGGGCTAGGGCCAGCCCACACCAAACCTAAACAGGCCCAGTGCGGGCTTGCCCAGGCGAGGCCCACAGCTATGGGCTCACCGCAGGCTCTCTGTGAGCAGCCCACACTATGGGACTGCCCACATTAATCCCATGATGGCCCAGTGTGGGCCAGAGATGAGCCTGTTAATAAGAATTTTGTGGACAGTTTTCTTCCTTACCACTAGGGATGCTAGAATGTTTTAGGTTTCCTTAAGTAAAGCCATGTGGTAGAGAGAGTTAGGTTGATAAAAAAAACAACAACATCAAAGTGTGAAAATGAAAACTTGGGTTGGTTTTGGCAACAGCTGATCTGTGACTGGAGTGTGCATGGTAGGTAGTGACGTAGAGGCCGGAAGGGATCCGGAAATGGAGGATGAAATGTTTGGCGTGGATGAAGAAGGAGGGAACGGGAATAATGAGTGGAGTTTAGTAGAAAATCGGAAAAGAAAGAAAATCTGGAGTAATACATCTGAAACTGACAGTGGAAATGAAAATCATCCGATAAGAGGGAAGAAAGAGGAGTTCAAGGTAATGATGAAGTTTGTGGATGAGTCTTTTAAGATAATAAATCCGCTGAAGCTGTCTAAAGTAATTAAGGAAACGATAGGATCAATAGAAAGTGTCAAGAAGTTGAGAGATGGAAGACTAATCCTATATTGTAAGGATAGTAGGCAACAAAAAGTGGCATTGAAAATAAAGTCGATTTGTGCACAAAAAGTGATCTGCTCGATACCGGAAGAAAAGACATGGGTCAAAGGAGTAATAACTGGTATCCCAACTGAAGTGACAGTAGAAAAGATCAAGAAAAGTCTAATGTTTTCATTACAAGAGGTTGGATTATTCATTTGCTATCAGTCAACATCAGCTACGCACAGTGTTTGGACATTGATGTACTACAGATAAGACACACATTCGCACACATCAACTTTCACATGACGAAATACTACAATCTTACATTGCTTTGTTTTGTACTTTTGTGTATTTACATTTTTGGCTATATGTAGCTGTATTAACCTGAATTTAATGTTTTCTATTTTGTATTTAATAAATCCATTGATTTGAAATCCGGTTTGACTACTGTACATTTTTCACAATATAGACATTAGTTATGTGGTGACTGCATCCATTTCAGATGCATAATAACTGTTTTTCCCAAAGACTTAAGTTATAGTAGTTGAAAAGTATTTAAAGTGAAACAGATGTATTGTTATAGATCAGGGGTGCATCCTGTTCCTGGAGATCTACCTTCCTATAGAATTCAGTTCCAACCCTGATTAAACAAACCTGTCTGTAATTATCAAGTGCTCCTTCAGATCCTAATTAGTTGGTTCAGGTGTGTTGATCAGGACCACGTTGGGCACCCCTGTTGTAGATTAATAGTGTGGGCTAAGGTCAGGGCCAGCACTAAGGGGCCAACGTTTTGCCAATGAGCAAAATCTCAGAGGCCCTGCACTGGCAGCCCACTGGGGGCCCTTAGGCTAGCCCTAAGTGGGCCCGTAAAGGGCCAGTGCAGGCTTGCTTGCAGGGTTGTTTAATTTGTGTTTAAGAGGTCAAATTAGTGGTGATTTGTAATAGACCAGAGCTACAATCATTGTAGGCAGTAAACAATTTACCATTCCTTGACTAAATCACACTCTTCATAAAACTTGCTATATCAGAAATTCAATAGATTGTGACACTCAACAGGCAGTAACTTCCATATTTTATCAGCTGGCCAGGACTTTGTTCCACACCTAATAAGTACACGATTATTTACAGTGAAACAATACAGAAAGGCCACATAGCTTGTTTTTTGATCACCAACTGACAATAAGTGCTTTATCCAGTAAATCCAGTGACATTTTAGGATACACCATCAGTTGTAATGCAAGAACAACAATGGATCACCCATCTATACACAAAACACACCTTAACAACAAGGCAGTATTTTCATAACCAACTTTGCAGCTTTTAAGAGTCATTTGATTCCATAATGTGAGCAGTTGCAAGCAAGTCAACATTATTAATATTTAAGCGACATGTATATTCAACCGCACCCTCCCAGTGACATTAATATTAGACCAACTACAGTAGTCGTTATTAATGTGCATATGAACCTATTCAAGTATGAAGAGGATGGCAGCTTAGGCTTGTACAGACAAAACAGTTTTCCCACTTGAATGTCTTCCTTTCAATATTGGAGCACATTGACATGCATTATGGCAGGGAAAACAACGGTGGTAGAGCATGTGAACTTATTCATCATAATATTGTACATACAGAATGCTTTTGCAGCATACATGCATAATTTTCGGAACTTTTATATTCAGTGAGTTGTTTATTTTAGTAATTTAATGGACTGCAAGAAGACCCATGCAGAGAGTGCTTGAGGACAGTAGTGTCGTTGAGCCTCATGCTCTGTTAACCTGATCCGAGTAACTGAGAGCTAATGAATTGAAAGCATTAGAGGTGACATCATCCTTGTTTAGTTCTGCCAAAGACACAGTGTTTTACCAAAAATGGTTTAATAATCCTGAAAATGGATTAAATTATTCATTAATGTTTGATATAAAATGGTTTACAAGCATTAGATATCATATGTCTGTTTTAAATGTTATTAGACCCCAAAGCCTCACTTTATTCTTTTTATAATGAGATGAGTGAGTGCTTCACATCTGGTTTTTGTACTGTATAGTTTTATTTGTCCTGTATCAATGCCAGTTTGCTTTGAGTGCTTTGTGATTATGTAGATTTACCAGGCGCCTCAAGTAAAGCCTTTACAAAGCGTGTGCATTTCCGTCATTGAACTGGGCTGAAGAGATTGATATAATTTGATATAAAAGACTGCTTGCACACCACATTTTCCTCTGGGGGTGGGGGAAGGGACTTAATACTCTGCAGTGTCCTTTCTCGTGTCTGGCTGGTCCCTGGAGATCACACTGCATAATCAGTGTTGACTTCTTTCAATATCTGGTTCCTATCATACTCATGAGGGTCAGTTCTGTTTGAAAGTGTCTTTATCTTCTGTGTTAACTGTATATGAGAGCTTAGAGGAAATACGATCCACTGAACAGTCATTACTTAGGTTGTGCAGAGCAAGTTTGGTCAAAGATGTGGTACAGCTGTTAGCACACGTGCACAATGATCCTGTAACCCCTTTTTTCTCCTAAGAATTTCCTGTGAACTCTCTGTTGCCCCAAAATTGGTCTCTGGTTACACAAGAAAAAAAATCTAATCTCCTGAAATAGCATTGTAATTAGTACACTACTGTAATACAATGCTGTGAATCCTTTATGGTTTATGTCTGTGTTTTGACTTGTTATTGAAAGAGTGTATTCACAACATGAGAAAATGTATAATATTTAGCTTTTTCCCATCATATTTTTATCAACAGTATTTTAATTAAAAGCATATTAAGCTATTGCCAAGGTGTGAATTTTTGTCTTCATTATAGTTGATGAAACACTCTTCGGTTAACAAACATTTTCAGCAAGATTGACGTGAAGAGCTAATGATGATGACATAGTTTGCATTTTTGTATGCTCACACTTCGTTATCGTATTATGTTATCGTAACATGGAAACAAGTAATTTTAGAATTTACCATTTCGTGAAGCAATGGGCTTTTTAAATAGATTTTTGGTTTGGTTAAGGTCGGTGGTTGACACAAACTCAATATATTTTCACATTTTATTCTACGACATAAAATACATCAGTAATACCTATGTGACGAGTGGGGCTGGGGCCGAGAGCCGTGGGAACGGAGCGAGGCCGGTGGAGTAATTGATAATGAGCGACACCTGCGCCACTCACCGGTCTCGAGTCCCACGGAGGAGCTCCGGAAGGATAAAAGGAGGAGTTACGACAGTGAAAGACGAGAGAGAACCAGGCCTGGACTTTATTTTGTGTTTTGTGTGCGGCAGTCGTCCGCGAGGGGCTGCCGCTTTACTTTCATTTTGTGTTTGTTTATTTTATTAAAGTTTTGTTTAAATGTTCGCCGGTTCCCGCCTCCTTCTTCCCGTGACTACGAACTGTGTTACAACGTACTTGTGTTTTTTTTTTTTTTTACATTTTATTTGTCTTGAAAAATGCAGTTCCTAACAAGTGGCTAAATGGGACTAATGAGGTTGTTGGGGACATTAAATATCTTCACACCAATCAAGAAATCTTATCTGCTCACTAGTACACAGCCTCACTGTGTTTATAATCATGCTCTTGCTAGCTATTCTAACTCAAACTTTCATGTCAGAAGTATGTAAAGGCGTAAAAATAATCTTTTTTGGATGAGTTCACTGGTGGTGGTTGAGGAGAGACCCCAAAACATGATTGTAAAGCGCTTTGGGTGTACAGCAATACACAATAAAGCGCTATATAAATGCATCATTCATTCATTCATTCATTCATTTGAACAAACCGAAATGAATCACAACTTTCAGTCACCACATAAATGCAATAAAATACTTATGAATCAGATAAGTTGGCATCTTTTCTGTGCATTCTTCTAACTATACAGTGGTAAACTTTATTGTTAGAAGAGTACATTACTCACAGTGGTATGATGACAAGCAAATGTACAACTCTTGTACCCAAATAATACAATGTGAAAAAGAAGGCACAAACCAAATTCTTTAGTCACTGATTAAAAATACTATGAGAGCAGTTGATGCCACATGGAGGGTTTTTAGATTCTCCAACAGACAAGGTTTCTTTTTATGGTTTGTCTCTATCCTCCTTGCTGTTTGTTTCACAGCTGCTGGTGAAGTGGGGTCACAATTTAATTTGGTCATCTGTCAGGACAACTCTCAGTACATCTCAGTAGATTGGTGCCATTACATTCACTTCTCTCCATTACCGCGGGAAGTAGGGGTGCTGGGGGTGCTGCAGCACCCCCTGGAGTGTAGCCCACGACAAATGGGGGTGCTGGGGGTGCGGTGTTAAAAATAAATGAATGAACAATATGTAATACAAAATAAATAATATTCATTTTATTAATTAGTATATTCATTAAAATTAATTGAAAAAAGTAGCCTAAGCCTATAATGACAAGAAGCAACAGTTAAATATGAGTTAAGTTGAATCAAATTGACTGTGAACGTCGTTTCAACTGATTAAACGTATTAAACTGACTTAAAAAAACATTTTTTGCCATGATTTTTGGATTATATTATAACCTGTAACATGTCTCTGCCGTTCCCAAATTAAGAATTAACAACAATTTCTACAGACAGCAGAGAAAGAGCGAGAGCATCTACCTCAGCAGCAACAAATCTCGCATTCTCACATCTGTTTCTCACCCCCCGTTTCTCAGCTCAAAATACGTTCCCGCGGCTATGCTTCTTTCACAGCCTTCCCTGGCATTCCTAGCCTTTCCACTGAACTCGTTTCACCCAGTCGTGCATTCCACATTCTAGATGCACTCCACAAGGAGCATTTCACAGCTGCGCGGGAAGGAGACTCCACTAACTATCTGAATACAACAGGCTGAAAGCTAAGCTCAGAGTTTTGACGGATGTAGTTCTGCTCTGTGCCATCAACAAGTGTCTCTTTCAGCATTTGTCACATGGCTCAGTGGTGTGCAAATGTGGGCGTTGATATGCAGATTTACTTTATTGCTGCTCTTTTATCTTTGCAGGTTGAGCTACACGTGCATCTTGATGGTGCTATTCGAATAAAGACCATTATAGAAGTAGCAAAGTAAGTGACATGTATTCCAATTACATACCATGATAAATACAGTGGTGTGAAAAAGTGTTGGCCCCCTTCCTGATTTCTTATTTTTTTGCATGTTTGTCACACTTTAATGTTTCAGATCATCATACAAATTTAAATATTAGTAAACTTTCCATATTTTCTATGGAAAAGATTATTATTTTCATAATTATTTATATACTTGGTAATTATTGTTTTATATTAACATTTATCATATTGAGTATATTTATTGTTTGTATTATTATTATTATTTTAATTGCATTTGTGTGGTATATTTCAAGCGTTCTGAGGCCAAAGGAACAATCCCAAATTTAAGTCGATTTTAACTCCTAAGCTCATCTTCACTGCAGCTCTAAAATCACTACTACTTAAAATGATTTTATAGATTTATACAATGATTTATTTTTTAATCTTGACAGCCTATGGTCAATAATAATGTTGTGATCTGTTTTTGGCTGAGAATTAAATATTTTGTAATGCTTAGGCTATTTCAAGTTATCAGATAAGCTTCCAAATATTTTTTTATAATGAATCAACAGCACCATATGTTCTTAGGTAAATAGATAAGATCTAATTTTAGACAATTCTGTCATCTTTCCATTAAAACTTTCAAAGCTCTAACCACTGGCCTCTGGGTGTAACTGTGTCTCAGGTGGCGGGAAATCACTCTACCTGCAGGCAGCGAGGATGAAATGAAAGACCTGTGCAAAATGCATGAGCCGGGCACACTCACAGAATTCCTTGGCAAGTTCAATCACTACATGCATGCCATTGCGTAAGTAGTTGTGCCGAGAAAAGATCTGCTGGCTCTAAATAAATTGTGTTGCTGATTTGCTTGAAGATTGCATTGAAGCCAAATATGATGTTTTTTCTAATGATTTTATGACATTATTAAAATTTTTCCCTGAAGATTTTACACCAACAACAGTTACATTTTGGTTTCTCAGGACTATTCTCCCCTCACAGACAAAAAGGCTTCTGAACAGCAAAGTAATTGTGTACGATCATCACAAAGCTGCTGGTTTTCAGATTGAGGTGATTTTGCAACAAAATCTTATGGCAGTTTGCAACTATTTTACTTTTTGGCGAACTGTTGGCTAATTTGTACAATCTCATTTTTAACTTTTCGTACAATCTGCCATTGACCATTAGGTTCATGTGTGGACCTTCATGCGTATTGCTTTTCTAAAAATCACACTGTTACGTTTTTCCAGGAGAGGAGTTTTGAAAGCTTCACTGCACTCTAAAAAAAAAAAAAAAAGTTAAAAAAGTTGTCAATGGAACAGTACCCTTTCAAATATTTCATACTAAAATGTACCATTTAGGTACTAATACGTACACTTTAGGAAATAATATGTACCTTTAAGGTATTAATATGCACCCCTTAGGGTTAAATAAGATACTAAGTATACCTTTTAAAAAGATACTGCCCAGTGACTTTTTCTGAAAGTTTATTATTTTATAGTATATTAACCCCTTCAGATCTCTTTAGATCTGGGAACATTTATTTCCTCATGAATCCAATGATTCAAGGCCACCATATGATATTGCGCTCTTCACCACATGGAAGTAAATAATGAATTCCATGGATGTTAATTCACAATAATTATTAACACAAATCTGAAGCATTGCTCAAGTGGTTAATAAGTAGATAGCCTCACTATATCGCTAGTGGTGGATACACCGTCAAAGGCATGGTAGCGTTTCTGTCCTGCATCAGACATCTTTACATGCAGCTCATGTCACACTTTCACCACGTGTTGCTATAGCAACGGACATGTAACCTCTGCAGACAGGGTGTCATGCACTCATTATTTTTGAGAGGGCGTGTTGGGGGGTCGTCATGTGACACACAGCAGCCACAACAGCACTTGTTTGGGGATGTCAAAACATCCCCAAACGCATTAACTATATCATGAAATATCTTGATTCTCACCTAGATTATGTTGATCTATAGTGGGTGATGGTCAAAGTAACCTAATAATGTAATCTATTAACTATGCATAAAAACTTGTCTGTTTACTTAATTAACAGATATGGATGTCATGCCATGACCAGAAAGAGAGCAAATAACATTTACATTATCAAAGAACATTCACTTACAGTTTAGTTCAAGCACTCTCAAAAACTCCCATTAAAATCACTGAAGCTGTTTACACTATGAAATTAATATCTTACAGATTCGTACACACATTTGCACTTTGTTGTTTCTGATGAGAGAATTCGCAGGAAAAGGTATTCAGTCAGTGAGCGAGTGAAGAAAACACTGGCATTTTAGCGATGACTCATTTGAACACCTCTGATTGGTCATTGCATTCATAAGCTCAACAGCATTGTGTGTGATTGGTTAATGCGCAGTGCTGTAAAAACGCGTCTTTATCTGGCTCAGCGCCAGCCAGCGAATGCAGATTTGAATTTAGCAGCTGATGATATGACGCACTGAACGTTATAATCACGCCGGTGTGATTGTATTACATATAGAAAATATGAATCGGCTATTTTTTGTCTTTTGGAAGCTGCATTCAAAATCCACTTGGCTCACGTGCCCCCTCACTTTGAATGGGCATGACGCCTCTATCTGCTGAGGCTTTTCTTTTGTCTTGCACTTAGTCCTCTAAACAAGAGTCAGACAATGTGGCAGTTTTTACACGTTTCCACCCAGATTCAGGAACATGAGAGGTAGATGCTTTGACATGAAGACATGAAAAGCAGTGCAGCCAGTAGTTTTGTGGGCCGGCAGCTGACATGCTTCATTGAAAATGAACCTCTAGTCCTCAGAGGTTTTAAAAAGGCCTTGTTTACAGCATTCGCCTCCCCACAACAACATAGGGAACTCGCTGGCTGTTTTTGGCACCCACTGGGCTCTTTATTGTCCAGTGCTGTAGACAGGCTCAATGCATGTCATGTGGTATAACCTGAAAACATGCTTTGTTACTGCAATCAAATAGCCTTTTTATTTAGCACTTTCAAGCATAATGTGACTCAAGAGAGGGAATTAAAAAAAAAAAACTGTGCAAGTGAGCTGTTTAAAATAAGTCTCATAGCGTAAGTGTTACTGAGTTGTAAAAATTATTAAGGCCTTTGGTATCTTGCTCCAGTTGTGGGTGTTCTTGGAACAAGCGCATGCTTATGCAATAAAGATGGATTTTATGAGTGTGTAAGTGAAAGTAACATCTAGCTCATTCAGTTAATTCAATCATTCACATAAGATATCTCTGAAGCATGTGCTATCTATAAATGAAGAAGTCATAAATGCTATAATTTTATGACATCATAAAACAACTGTAGCATTTATACTTCAGTCTGTTTGAATATTCTTAGATGATGTTGTAACTTGGGATTTGGGCCACTATATATGTGTGTGTGTGTGTGTG